CTAGATTCTCTTTCTTCTGCTCACAACTAGTGAATTCCTCCCATGGAAAGGTTGCGCTACAACTGGGTGTGTAGCAAATCTGCAACTAACATCAGTTGATGATGCTTTTATTGGGGAGTTTGGACGTGGTAAGATCTGTCCAGATGATGGAGTGGAATATCTTGCCCCATTCTAGTTCGTGCTTCGCACTTTGCTCGATACCTCGTTGCTTGGAGGATGTGAGAGCTTTCTGCCCTTTGTTGTGCCCTTTTCTGGCAGATAGAGTGCCCTTCTTGGCAAGTATGTTGACAATGGGAAAGACAGGAAGCCTGACTCAACTATGCCCCTAGTTCATCATTTTGACCATTTTTTGTTTTAGTTTTCTCCTAAAAAATTTTGACCAAAATGAGAGTTAGATTAGCATGCTCGTTCAATTTTCTGATTTAAAATCATGCAAGTTAGGCTGTGAGCACTGAGAGTTTTCCTTTTTGGGTCCAAGAAATGGTCCAGTTCTGAAAATTGAATACTTTTCGAAAGGGTTAGTCAACCTCAGTAAAAATTCTCAAAAACTATTTTCGTAAACGACCACTGCTCTACGAGCATGGGACCTACTCTTGAGATGCGCAACCTCGGATCCATGGCAATGGATAATTGCCCCTTGTCTGAAGGACACTGCATGGCAACGGAATGTTGCCCCTTGTTTGAAATGGCACCGCGGCGTTCTGAATGGCAACGGAAAGTTGCCCCTTGTCTGAATGGCACCGTAGTGTATTGTAGTCAGTCCTCAGAGCGACGAACGCAACCAGACTCTCAGATTTGAAATGCACAAGATAGTGCGATACGCTAAACAGCGCGATTGAAATGCACTAAACAGTGCGATACGCTAAACAGCGCAATTGAAATGCACAAGACAGTGCGATACGCTAAACAGCGCGATTGAAATGCACAAGACAGTGCGATACGCTAAACAGCGCGATTGAAATGCACAAGACAGTGCGATACGCTAAACAGCGCGATTGAAATGCACAAGACAGTTCAGAATGAAGTTGCCTACGTATCCCAAAGATGGGAATCAAGCCTCACGTAGTTCGAGGGTTAAGGTACACTCGGGTATTAACCTCTCCTTTTTAGGCTCTCACTTTTGCCAAGGCGCCTGTTGCGGGTTTTCGACCTTGCGAGCTTTGTTCTTCTTTCTTTCTTTTTTTTTTTCAATTCTTTTCTTTTCTTTTGCATTTTTTGCTTCTTTTTTGTATTTTTCTCTTGCTCTAACTTTTGCCTGGGTCGCCCTTCCAGGTTTTCGGCCCAGCGAGCCTCTCAGAGGGTAAAAGTGTAACGAGTCCATGCCAAATGGTTTTGAGATCTTGAAATTATCTGAATCCAGGAGAATGGCTGCTGTTCTAGCTTCTCCTGATGAGATCTGATCTTTTTGATCTGATTTTCCTGGCCTCTTGTTCGAGGGCTGCTTCAAATCTGGCCACACAGGCCTCACGTCGTAGTTGACCGTTTGAACCTTCTGAATTCAAGTTCAAGGTTTGGAAGCGAAGGGGTTAAGTCTCGAGGCTGAGAGTGATCCTAGGCTGCACAATCTCAGGAGCGATTCCACACAGGTCTTCGCAGGACCGCGCAAAACATTTTTGAAATCTTTTAAGAAAGCGACCAGTCGCTCGCGCTGAAGACAGTGTAGAACCAATCTGGATCAAGCCAGGGTCCTTCTCAGTACTCACGCTAACAAGCATGATTTCATTCATTAAGGGGCTTAGCACGCCTCTCTTTCTCTCAGTTTGATCAAAGTTTTGCAAATCCCGAGGAATTCCTTCCTCTTCGTTTTCACCGCGGTGTTCGAAAAGTTTTGAAAAACTTAGGTCAATGGAATGATTTTGGGGTGCAGAAGAGAGCAGGTGGAATGTACTGCCATTTCATTCAGATTCCGTCACAACTAGCACACGGCAGAAGCGAACACAGAAGTGCAAAAATTACTGCTGTTTCATTCAAAATCTGTTGGTGTTACTGGCTCCTTGGCAGAAACAGACTCAAAACAAAACGAAAAGACAAGCATAAAACAAAATGGTGACGCCTGAGGTAACATCCCCCGGAATCATCCGACTCTTATACAACAGGACTGACTCGCTATGATAAGACAGACCCGACACAAAATAAAAGATTGACTCTATACAGGACAACAAGACTGACTCAATACCCAGCTCAGAAAGCACAAAAGCTAGCATTCGCAAATGCTCAAAACAGTGCATGCCATCCACCATATCTGGAGTAAACTGAGTGTTGTCCGCAGGTGATTCATCCCTCCAATCACATCACATTATCCCCTACAAGTTCACTGATCAAGTGCCGATAGACTTTGCAGGATCTGGTGCGGGGATGACCCTATTGTCAAACAGATCTTGTACATCATGGCGCAGACGAAAGCAACTGTCTGTGTCATGACCGGTTTGTTGATGGTAGGCGCAGTATTTAGTCTGATCATGCTTTGCAGGGATAGGATCAGGTAAAGGCCGTTGTTCCAACGGTTTCAGATGCCCTTTCCGGATTAAGACCTCTAGAGCCTTTGACAAAGGCATGTGAAGTGGGGTGAAAACCCTCTTGACTTGAGGTAGACATTTGGTTCCTTGTGAGCTACTTCCGGACGCACCGGTGAATGGGGTAGCTGTTTTTGATACAGTGGTAGCCACTATGCCCACATCAGAAGATCTTGCAGCTGCATCACCACTGGTGGTCGCATTTGAACTGCGAGAAAACGCCCTCCTGGGCTGCTCCTTCTCCTGGTCAAAAAGGCCCTGCTTCATTGCGTCTTCGATTTGTACCCCCATATCGTGTAAATCTGAGAAGGCAGGGAAGGGGATCACAATCATTTTCTGCATTAGCTTGGGCTGGAGATTGCGCATAATCATCCGTATTTGATCCTTATCCGTTGGCCTAATGGTCATCATTGAGGCTTTGGCTCTCCAGCGGGTCACGAATTCTGAGAAGCTCTCCTTCGGCTCCTGCCTCATCGTCTCAAGATCACGGGTCGTAATCTCGATTTGGGTATTGTATGAATATTGTGCGACGAAGGCCTCGCCCATCTCCTCCCAGTTTCGTTTCACTGAATCCTCCAATTTGGCATACCAGGTGACCGCAATACCCGACAGGGTCCTGCCAAAAAGGGAGAGCTTCTGTAATCTTGTCAAGCCCATCGGGCGCAAAACATCTGAAAACAAGCTCAAGTGGACCATGGGATCTCCTGACCCATCAAAACGGTCGATGTGAGGCATCTTGAACCTGTCCGGCAGAGTTACAGTTGCGTCGGTGTACCCGTCCTCAATGCCCGGGATGGACTTTACCCCCTGGGATTTCTTGAACAACTTTTCCAGCTTGCTCAACTTCAACGCTGTGGGGTCGACCTCGAACTCGGAGGGATAGTCCGGTAGATTGGTAGGTGTTTTGGATAGTTGAGGTAAAATTGGGGGTGGAGCCGGCCCTACCGGAATGTCCGTACCTTCCTGGACATTTGGCATTTCCCCAGGTGCTGGAGCTCCTGTTGGGGGAGGAACTTGTTGTGAAGCGAACGCGTCGCTTTGCTGTTGCAGCTTGATGATGAGCTCGGCCTGCTGAGCCATGATCGCAGCCTGCTGTTCGGAAAATTCCTCCTGACGGGCAGCATCCTGCTGCATGAGTTTCATGCTTTCTTGCATCTGGCGCATCATGGCCTCCATCCCTGACGTGTTTTGCTGTTCCATCTGACTGAGTGGTATCTATCCCTGCAGTAGAAACTGAGACCTCAGCCTGACTGTTCACTGGTGGGGTGGATAAGGGCCACTAATCTGGTAACTGCGCTGAACCGATGATCTGTGTCTGGCTAACCCTTTTACCCTGCCTCTGGCAAAGGAACACTGATTGCCTTTGAACTGAATCTCTGACCTAGCAAAGTCTATCAGCGCAAGTTCGATGAACCTTGGGGGATATCAGAGCCTTCTGAAGCTATGATTCCCAGACTACCTAGCAAAAGAGAAAATAGACAGGATCTCAGCCTGATTCCATCTGAACAGATACGAGCATAGTTGAATGAGTGTGCCCTCTACTGAATTCTGCCCCAAAATTTGAGTCTGATACCCACAGGTAAAGCTGACTCCCAAATACTGATAGTAATGCCCACAGGCCCGATGCCAAAATTCGCAAACTGGTGCCCGCAGGCCTGATGCCCAAACTCATACACTGATACATGCATTCCTGTAGAGACACACTCTAAAGCACATAACAGATAAGGGAGAGAGAGCCAAAACACTCCTATAAAGGGGTAGGGTTTCCCTGTCCTATTTTGTCAGGAACTAGGGTTTCACTACGCACGCAGCGGCTTCAAACAACCTATAAACGGGTAAGCAACCTATCCTAGTTCGGAATGGTCACTATGGATCCGAATATGCACTAGGTCGAATGGTCAAAGAGGGTGCCCCGGTAAAACCAGGGTTCATGTTCCCATACTGGCAGAGCCCACAACCGGTCAGCCTTATGGTCATGCCTTGACAAGACAAGCCTCCGGCAGACCGTTCAGGAATAGCAGATGGCAAACACGGTGTCCTAGGCGCACCAATGCAAATGCAATGCAAAGAAACACACAAGTGTAGTCAAAAACAGATATCATGAGTTTGAGTTAAGTTCTCTAAATCCCCAGCGGAGTCGCCAGAAACTGTAGACGTCCCAGAATGCCCCGGGAGGAACGAGCTCCCGTTCCGTTCATTTTGGGGTCACTACAGCTCAGGACTCTCAAATTTGTCACGGTTCTAAGTCTGAACCAAAGAGTCCAAATCCGACAAATCGTTTTCAGAAACAGATTTTTGAAAAGAAGTGCCAAACATGGACTGCTTTGCCAGATACAGAGTCGCCACCTAAATATTTTATTTTGGGAAATTTAGGAAACCCTGACTCGGTGCCAAAGGCCACGTGTCCGTCATCACCAAAGTTGCCTCGGCTCGGGAACTTGGGTACGATTGGGGAAGGTCACTTCGTGAGCACCCCCGCTACTAACCATGATATCTTCAGTCAAATGGTGGGCTAAATTCAATTTGCCCCGCATATTTGAAATTGTTCATGAAGAATTTCCATCTAGTCAATATGCTCCAACTCCTGCAATGGTTAAAGCCCAGCAGATCCCAACTGCTGCAATCAGTCAAGGAAGTCAGCCCAGCCTTCCTCCAATCAATCTTGGAAGCCCCTCATCCAGTGGTTCCAAGCCCAAATCCAAACCAGTTCAGTCAGCACATTCAAAATCAAAGGCTAAGTCCAAAGCTTCTCCAGCTCCGGCCCAGCCCAAAAATCAGTCCAAATCAAAATCCAAAACAAAGGCTAAGCCCATTTCACCTCCTGCTCAGCCCAAGGCTAAATCCAAGGTCAAGCCCAAGTTATCCAGAGATGAATTGCTCCAATTAGCAAGACAAATTACAGACCAAGCTGAAGCCCAATCTGCTTCTAGTTCAGACCGTTCAGACCAATCAGAAGAAGGATCAGTCAGCTCACATTCTTCTGAAGAATCAACTAATCAATATTCAGGCCCAGAGTTCCAAGATGCTCAGGACCCATTTGCTTAATCAACATAGGATTCCCTATAAATACAAATTAGCTTCAATCGATACTCTTTTGAGAAAAGCTGCTAATTTCTATTTATATTGATTCCTTTACTCACATGTTCCACCGAAAGTGATGAATAGTAAAAAGTTACTGTTCACTTTTACTGTTCACTATCACTATTCACCCAGTCAACTTTTGTTTAAAGCTGCTCAACTATTCAATCAATCAGCCGAAAGCAACCGACAGCATCTACTTTTCACATGCTCAGCCAGCTGCTTACAAAAGTCACATGCTTTCTGTTTTGCTTGTTATTTCTATATATTGTAATCAATTGTAAGCATTCAGGCATTCGAAAATTTTCTTCTCCATCTTTGTTGTAAGAAAACCAGAGTGTTTTGAGAGCCTTACAAGCTTCCCCGTTGTACCCAATTAAAGATCCTTACAGTTGCTATTACAATTGTAAGTTAATCAATATTTCAATGTTTTAAGTTTAATATTTTAATTATGTTGTAAATTATGTTGTAAATGTGCAATCCAGTTATCTGATTTTGATTTCGTAATCCATCTTTCCTTCATATATGCTGCTTCCGCCTTTTGGTATCAGAGCCAAGTGATGTTGTATCCTGTTTCTAACTGTTTAGCTACTTCTGATCAATCGTCTTTCTTGTTTGTTTAATTAATCCTGTTTTCAGTTCATCTTAATCACCCACAAGATCAGTCTGTTCTACCCACCTAGTTTAAGTCACCCACTTCTTCCCAGTCTTTTGTAAGTCCTTCGGTTTAGGCAGAGTCAGACTTTGGGGTTTAAAGATAGGGTATGTATGTATACTAGGTATGTGGTAAAATTGACAAGAATAGGGTATGTATTAAGATATCTGTAAAACTGGTTAATTAAATCAAAACAATGAATCGATTATTTAGAAGTAACTCATCAGTCAGTTCTAGGTCATCGACCTTGCCTTCCATACCTAATCCAGGAATCATAATTAATGAAGAAGATGTTGAAATACAAAATGATCAAATTAATTCTGGATGGAATATTCCCAAACTGCCGATTAAAGAGATTTATAAAACTTCTTTTATACAGGATGTTTTTAAAGTTACTCTCCATGTTAAAACTATTGAACAAGTTTATGCTCTCGAAAAACCAAGAGAAACCTGTCAGTTATTTGACAAAAAATTAATCAAACGACATTTAGATCGAGGTTACAATTTCATGCATATTGGTTTAATTCAAATTGGTGTCAATCCATTAACTATGATAGGACAAAATACTTCTGTTTTACTCTGTTTAAGAGATGCCCGTTTTCTTAATTATAATGCTAGTTTAATGGGAATGATGGAAACTGGTCTTAATAAAGGTCCCGTACATTTTAACTGTTTTCCTGATTTTACATTAAGTTTACGAGATCCACATATTCTCAAGGCATTAACATTAAACATTCAATTACATGGTGAATATACTGAAATGTTATATTCTTCTCATAATATTGCTTTGATTTACCGTGTTCATTATAAATGTATGCAAACTAATTTAAATGTTCATGCTTTACATAAAAGTCCCAAAGATAAAACTTTATTAATCCAAAGCAGTAGTACTAATGAATCCAACATTAATATTCCTCACATGATTGAATGGAAAGATATTAATTTACCTGATCAATGGGTTACTGTCAATGAAAATTACAAACATAATCAACAACAATCTTCAATCCAAGATATTAAACATATCCAGCAAAATACTGATGGATCCGTTAATATTAAATTTAATCGCAGTCAGTCTTCTAGACATAGTACATCTAGTGTCCCTTCTGAAATATCAACTGACGACGAAATATTTAACACTCCGCTATTTAGAAAAAATAGTCAAATTCATCTTGGTCCAACTAATCCGACTTCTAAAAATAAATTAAAAGGAATTGATAATTCCACAACTTCTCAAATCAGTAAACCTGTTTATACTACTACCTCACATTTCCCTGAAGAAGAAATCGCTTCAAATAATTCCCCAACTCAAACTGATTTCGAAGAATTTATACCACCTGTTAATCCACAACTAATGACAATCAAAAAAGATTTTACTCCTGATTTAGATAAACTACTTATTGATTTTAGATCCAAAGAAAATAGGACTAAACGACATGCTTACCGTGATAAATATGATTCTGCTCAACAATCTCGAATAACTAGAAAATGGTATGATTTTATGGTTCAATATGGTTTTGAATTATCCTTCTTTGATTATATGGATCAATACTACAAAAAGATTAATACAATCACCAAACATAAGTGGAAAACTTCTCCTAATACTTCTGTGAGCTCTAATCACCCTCCATTAGAAACTATAATTATTGATCACCAAGGTTCTGAAGTCCCAGCCTCTCCTTTTAAGTTACCTAGTACTGATCCTGAAATAAAAAAGGTCATTGAACAAAATAATTATACTAATCAATGTCTAAAAACAATTGGTAAACAATTAGATAAATTAGAAACTAATTTAGATGACCAATCTGCCAAATCAACTAAAATTCTAGATCAACCGTTACTTAATCTACCTAGTCATCGCTCTAAACGAACTAGTTTAGTAATGAATGATCAATCTACTGTCAAAGCTATTGAACAATTATTTACTAAATTAACTCCTCATGATACTTCTACATCTAAAGACAAAGGTCTTACTGTTTTAAATCAACAACCTATTACCAACACTATTTCTAAGCAATCTGAAACTGATACTACTGATCATGAAATCAATCAACTAACTCAACAATTTCAATCTTCTCATCTGAATAAAATCCACTATCCAACAGTTAATCCTCACAATACCAAAAACTGGTATTCCAAACCAACTCCTGTTGATCTCCAATTTGAAGATACTAATATTAGTAATCAATTTTCTGTTTCTGCTAAAAGGTTATACGAATGGAATATTGATGGTCTCAGTGAAGATCAAATCCTTCAAAAATTAAATCATTTATCTATGGTCGCCAATAGTTATCTCAGTAATTATCCCCAATACTCTCAACCTGAAATTGTTTCCTTACTTACCTCTGGTTTTACTGGTATGCTCAAATCATGGTGGGAAAAATATCTCACTGAAACAGAGCGTGACTCTGTTATTTATGCTAATCAAACTGATGAAAATGGCCTCCCCCTTTTTGATGAATCTGTAGGATGTTGTCACCCTGATGGTATTAATCAACTCATATATACCATAGTTCGACATTTTATTGGCACACCTACAAATATCTATTCTCGAATCCATGATCAATTAAGTAATCTCAACTGTCCAACCTTAAGTGATTTTCGATGGTATAAAGATGTATTTACCTCTCGAGTCATGTTAAGAGAAGACTGTACTAAATCATTTTGGAAAGAAAAATTCATTAATGGATTACCTAGCTTATTTACCCATAAAATTAGAGATGTTCTTAGTCAACCCACTGGTGTTATTGAATATGATAATCTCACGTATGGTGATATAATTAGCACTATTCAAAAAGAAGGTTTAAAAATGTATATTGACCTCAAACTTACTCAAAAAGCTAATAAAGATAAACATAAAGCCAAGTATGATTTAGGAAATTTCTGTGAACAATATGGTTTACCTCCTGTTGCACCCTCTCGTAGGAAATCACACAAATACTCCAAACATAAATCATCCTATAAACATTCCAATAAATATAAATATAAGAAGAACTATACCCCTTCCAAATCCAATGATAAATTTTATACTAAACCCAAAAAGAAATATTATAAATCCAAAGCCCATCCAAAATCTAAATCAACTAAAGATGTTACTTGTTATAATTGTGGACAAAAAGGACATTATTCAAATAAGTGTAAAGAAAAACAAAAATTAAAAGATAAAGTTAATCAACTCCAAATTGATGATAATTCCAAAAATCAATTATATGAAATCTTTCAATTAAATCAAACTATTAGTAGTTCTTCTTCTGATCATCCAGAGACTTCATCTGATTCCCAATCACTTAGTGATGATTCTGATAATAATATTACAATAGGCTGTAATGATGTTTGTTGTAAACCAATTAAACAAATTACCGTTCTCACCAAAACTACTCAAGAAGAATCCGCTCTCATCGATCTAATTAGTAAGTTAGATGATCCTAGGTTAAAACAAAAATATACAGATAAATTAAAATCCTTACTAATCCATTCCGATTCCAAACCTAAGTTTGATAAACCTATAATCAGTCTATCCAAAACATTAGAAAGATTTAAAAATAAACAAAAAGAAGCTACATTACAAGATTTACAACAAGAAATCAATCAGATTAAACAAACAATCAAAGAATTGCAACGTAAAGATAAAACACTTGAAGATGAAATAATTACTTTAAAACTTGATAAAAGTTTAGATAATTTCCAAACTAATGAACATGAGTCCCCACATGAATCTGAACATGAATCTGATCATAATCCAGATAATTTAATATTTGATAACCGATCACACCAATCTCAATCCAATAATCCTGAAGAAAAACGATTAAGTTTAATCAACAAACTTTACATTCAAAAATGACAAAACCCCAAATTCTGACTCTGCCTAAACCGAAGGACTTACACAAGACTGGGAAGAAGTGGGTGACTTAAACTAGGTGGATAGAACAGACTGATCTTGTGGGTGATTAAGATGAACTGAAAACAGGATTAATTAAACAAACAATAGAGAAGATTAACCAGAAGTAGCAAAGCAGTTAGAAACAGGATACAACATCACTTGGCTCTGATACCAAAAGGCGGAAG